AAGAAAACCATTAAGGTATTGGCTTATGCAGAGAGAGACCTTGGACACTACTGGCTTCTTCTTTAAGGCGATCTATCTTAAAGTGTGGTCCTCGGACCACCTGCATTAGAATTGCTTGTTTAAATGCAGTCTCCTGAGTCTCAACGTCAGATTTACTGGGTCACATTCTCTGGGGCAGGGCTGGTGATCTGCATTTTTAACTAGACATCCAGGTGATGTTAATCACTGAAGAACCGCTGCTCCAGTATCAGTGCAACTCACAACCAGCCAGAAGGGCAAGTTGGTCAAGTCCTTTCTGGTTAAGGCTACTGCTGACGACCATGAATGCTCTATAGCCTTGAAATCCAAGGTTCATCAATAAGTATCAATAACAATGAAATTGACCCCTTTGTTTAATTCATTGTCCAGTTCATGAAGTTGTTTTTTCTTGTGCTTTCTGTCCTTTGCAGAAATTTACTGCCTCCAGCATACTCCGCACACATATTAGGCAGCACTCCGGGGAGAAGCCCTTCAAATGCAAGCACTGTGGGAAATCTTTTGCCTCCCACGCTGCCCACGACAGCCATGTCCGGCGTTCCCACAAGGAGGACGAGGGCAGCTCTTGTGGCATCTGTGGGAAAACCTTCCCGGATCAAGAAACGCTCTACTCCCACAGGAAGCTTCATGGAGACTGCTAGCCCTCAGATCGCGAGGACAATGTGGAAACGAAGGACGACTCAAATTCTCTCGTTTCTCTACTATTTGCCTTGGGCCCCCAATTGTACTATTTCTGGCCATCACCTGTTATTTCTTTTTCTTTTGTTTTTGAGACAAAGTCTCTCTCTGTTACCTGGGCTAGAATGCGGTGGTGTCATCATAGCTCACTGCAACCTCAAACTTATGGGCTCAGGTGATCCTCCTGTGTCAGCCTCCTGAGTAGCTGGGACTACCAGTGTGCGCCGTGATACCTGGCTAATTTTTTTTTTTTTTTTTTAAAGACAGTCTCACTATGTTGCCCAGGCTGGTCTCAAATTCCTGGCCTCAAGCAATTCTCCTGCCTCTGTCTCCCAAAGTGATGGGATTATAGGCGTGAGCCACCAGCCCAGCCCCTGTTATTTCTTTATAGAACAAATTCTTTAAAAATTCACTCAAGCTGGCCGGGCGTGGTGGCTCACGCCTGTAATCCTAGCACTCTGGGAGGCCGAGGCGGGTGGATCGCTCAAGGTCAGGAGTTTGAGACTAGCCTTAGCAAGAGCGAGACCCCGTCTCTACCAAAAAATAGAAAGAAATGATCTGGACAACTAAAAATACATATATAGAGAAAAAAAAAATTAGCCGGGCATGGTGGCGCATGCCTGTAGTCCCAGCTACTCGGGAGGCTGAGGCAGAAGGATTGCTTGAGCCAAGGAGTTTGAGGTTGCTGTGAGCTACGGCACTCACTCTAGCCAGGGCAACAAAGCGAGACTGTCTCAAAAAAAAAAAAAAATTCACTCAAGCTAGAACTTCATTAATGTTATAAGTAAGCCTTCAGATGTGACTTAATCTTCCACTTTTGTTTGGACTCATTTTAAACCCTTTATTCCCACTCCTCCCCCACCACATAACAAGTGCCAATTAATATGTTTAGCACCAAACAAAATTACTTGGAGGCCACAGAAGTCAATTCCACCATCTATGACCTTTACCAATTGGAGAAGAAAAATTATAACCAAGCAAAGAAAGGCTAAAAAATAAATAAATGTATTTATATTGCTAAGTGGATTTTTCCCCATCTTTCTAGTTAGCTGACTCCTGCTAATACAGAGAGTGCTCGCGTGCACACACACACACAAAGATAGAGACCCACTGAAAAGAAAAAATGTGCTCTATAAGGCATCCCCCAGGCTGATGCTGAGTTCACCACTTTACAGATGAGGAAACTGAGGCTGGGAGATGAAGGAAGTGGGCCAAGATCATTTGCCTCTGAGGAGCAAAGCCAGATCTCGGTGACTCCAAAGCCCAGCTTCTTAACTAACCACTACACTCAGTTTATGAACCCTGCTATCAGCTACCAATCCCATTCCCTATATCAAGGCAAGCAACAACAAACTTTTAAATATTCCCTTGGAAGACGTGAGACCAGACAAAATAAGCGGGATAAAAGTGCTTTGCAGGCAGCCACAGCTACTAATGTCTGGCCCATCCTAGCCCTGTTTCTACTGACTGCCTAGTGGTCTGCTTCACCCCCCACCATGGCCCACGTCTCTCAAAATGGAGCAAATCCAATATGGAACAGATGCCCCTTCCAGAGGGAGGCTCCCAGCTGTAGCAGAGTCCACTGGGAAATAGATGCAGTGCAGGTGGAACAGCAGTGACAGATTTTCCTCTAGAGAATTCTTTGCTGCCTTGACTAGGTCTGAGTAATTTATCCTAATGGGAATGTGCCCTGTTGTTTTAGGACTGTTTTAGTTCATGTTAATTAAGTCAGAACAATGGTCTTTTGAGAAGGTTGGGGGGCTCATCATGTCATTAGGCAGCCTTTCTTTGACTGCTAGTTCAAAATATATTACTTGAAACATTTTCTGACTGTTTCAGTGGGTTTAAACATTTTAAAATCAAACCATAAAACAAGTCATCAGGAACCGGTGTGACCCCAATTTTTCACTCATTTCATAATTCAGATAAACCTACTTTGTTCTTTGAACTAGAAATAAAAGCAAAGGGAGGTTTGTTTTTTTTTTGCCCTTTTCTAAGAGTCAATTATTTAAATGCATGCGTGCCAAATAACACCATATTGTATACACCATGCATCCCGCACTAACTGGAAAACTTTGGGGACCACTTTATTTAATCTGACCTGTTTACCCAAAGTTTTGGTCATATTGATCAGGTTACATATCTCAATTTTCAGTTTGAGAAATACAGTTCATAGCATAACATCTTTTTTGAGTAATTAACTGAAGCTCTACTATGTTTATTTCTTTAAAATGTGTATTTCACCTATTTCTAAAGGTAATTTGAACCAGCTTATAACAATTTGAGAAAATAGACTAGGACAGTCAAAGATGATGACAAAACACCACATAGTGGAATGAAATGAAAACTAATATAGTTAGTTTTAGGCTAATATAATTAATCCGGCTGAACATTGTGAGAAGCAGCCCAAGAATATAGAAACACAGAATAATGGATTTCAGAGTTGGACAAGCTTGTATTTGTCCACCATTTCCTCACTGTATGATGTTGGACAAGTCATTTAATTTCTGAGGTTTACCATCCTCATCCATAAAATAAAGTTTGAGAACCATTGCTTTGATTTATCCGTAGCAGTGGGTGAAACTGAGTGGCTGGGTAACTTGGCAGGATCTTAGAGCTGTTCATTAGGAGAAAATTAGAATGCAGATTGCAGGCAGAAGAGTGCTCTTACTGGGAATAATGGATACCAACTGAGCACAATCTCGTCATTCTGCTGTTGGAAATAAGAAACTCTTTCTGCAGCTGTGGGTGAAATTTAGAGACCTTCTCCTGAGGTAGCTTCTCTGCTGGTATTTCTTTTCCCTCCCTGAGTTTATATCCAACGATAAATATCATCCATTCACCATCCATTCTTCAGAGTAAAGAAGAAAAATGTATAAAAAGGGACATTTAAAACCCTGGAAAAGTAACCAAGCTCGGAGTAAAGTGGCATCCATGATATTGATGGAGCTCTTAATGGGCCCTCCGGGTGTCCTTCTAGGACCTGGGCAGTTGGCAGTTGCAGTGAACAAAGCTGTCAAACTAGACAGATGTTTGGGACCTCAGTGGGGCCTGCAGTAGGCTGTGTTGTGACCATAAAGTCACAGCTCAGCTCTACCCAGGAAAAGTTTAGAGCAGGCCGGGGTTGGGAGGACCTGACATTCACAGTGTGATAGTTAGAGGCACAATCGCAAATACTGTCCAAGACCATCTATTACTGGTGGGTCTGATTTTGACACGACAGGTTGCACAGTATTTCATTCACAAGTAGTTTTAAGTGCTTTCAGGATGCTTTATGACTCTTCTGGAACAGTAATTGCACTGAACTATTATTTTATGGACGCTACCCAATGTTCAGAACAAATTTGTACATTGAATTCTTTCAATAGAAACATTGAGCTAGCATGTTACAGAAATTTTTGGCTGTTTGACAAATATTAAAATAGAATAAACAATTATTTTGACAGAAAAATAGTGTTAAGGGTAATATAAAATAGAGATAAACGTCTCCTTCATTGATAATCTCTTCATAAAGTATGGGAATCTCATATAGAAAATAATAGTTTTCTACATTTTTAAAAAAGATTACATATTCAAGAAATATAAAATATTTCCACTTATGGGTGCAAAGAACTTTCACCTTATTTCTTTTCTGGCTCAAAGTAACAAATAAAATAGAGTATTTCGAAGTGAGAAGTTAGCCCTAGTTACAACTAGGATAGAGAATGTTTAGGGTTGCTTTTCTGGAGAGCAGGCCTCAGAAAAAAAAAAGAGAGAATGTTTTGGTTGTGGTTCTATTTTTTCATATGATCTCAGGATAAAATATTCTTTTCACTGTCAAATTTTCTTTCATCTTAAATGATCCCAGGATTCTTTTTGTAAAAATAAATTTTATTGTGTATATTCGAGGTGAGGATTCTCGATATATTCCTCATATATCAAAAACTGGGATATGGCCAGGCGCGGTGGCTCACGCCTGTAATCCTAGCACTCTGGGAGGCTGAGGCAGGTGGATCGCTCAAGGTCAGGAGTTCGAGACCAGCCTGAGCAAGAGCGAGACCCCATCTCTACTAAAAAAAAATAGAAATGATCTAGACAGCTAAAAAAAAATATATATATATAGAAAAAATTAGCCGGGCACGGTGGCGCATGCCTGTAGTCCCAGCTACTCGGGAGGCTGAGGCAGAAGGATCGCTTGAGCCCAGGAGTTTGAGGTTGCTGTGAGCTAGGCTGACGCCACAGCACTCACTCTAGCCCAGGCAACAAAGTGAGACTCTGTCACAAAAAAAAAAAAAAAAAAAAACTGGGATAAATTGTGTGCGCTTTAACATTATGTAAATCCTATCCATAGATTTATAAAATGTATTCTGAAGTTATTTATAGCACAGTACTTTGTGTTGAAAGCAGAAAGAAAATATATATCAAAGGGGATGGAATCCCATTCTTGATTTTTACGAATTGTTTAAAAGTGCAAAATGTTCTTCCATTTGCTTCCATGTGTGTTCTATTTGGCATCTGTATACCTATGTCAATTATTTTTTAAGTGTTAATAAAAATAGGTAAGGGGACGGGGAGAGAAAAAAAAGAAAAAAAGAAATAAATAAAAAATAAAAATAGGTAAGATTTTAGGATCAAATATGTGATTTTTTTTCTCTATTCGTAACCAATTCACGTACTGAGACACAGCAAGAGACTTGAAAGGGAAGACACAGTACAAAACAAAATCACTGCTTTATCCACTGTCAGCTTGTTTTCCAACCCTGCACGGGCCTGAACCAGGGCCAGCCCTCCCGAGCCCTGCTGTGAATTCCTCTCCCCTGGGTTATCTGATTTAAAGGTGCCAGAGCCCAGTTCTTTTAAATTTGATTTTGAAACTATCTTCAAACTGGGCGAGGTGTCTTCCAAGGCTGTTGCTCCGGGAACCTGCTATCTCTATTTCTCAGTTCTTAAATACCAACTCGCTTCAGCCATAAACCCCCTCAAG